CGTTTCTATTCGATGCGTAAACGACGAAATATACAGACTTCGCAAGTCGGACGGAGCATTAGATATTCGCGATACGCCGGCGCGATCCCGCGATAAATTGTACTTATATACACGACAAAAACACTCACCGGCGAGCCGTCTTTGTCGCACAGCGTCGGAAATGTATTGATAATTAAATCGATAATTAGACGATTCACGATGCAACCGAGGAGATCGCCGTATGGTTACTCCTTTAAACAGGCTCTCACCGAATTACACCAATCGAGGAAACCCCCAATCTCTGCACAATGTATTTTAGCCGATCGGGATAATAAAAAAGAAAGCAGAGCTTTCGAGATGAATTCGATCTAACCGGATAATAGAGAAGCCGGAAATGAAGAAATTGCCGAGGTGAGAGATTGATTCTCCTTGAACGTCGCCCGCATCCTCGGCATTCGCGCGCGGTTGAAACACTTTTACGGAAGATTACGCGCGAGATACGTGCAAATGTGCGATGTACATACGCGTAGCTATAAATCACGAGACAATCGTTCCAAGCAATCGTTGCAAACTCGTTACGAGTTTGCCCTAGTGGCTGGCCACAGCGACGACGGCAGGAAAGCTCGAGAGCCGGTCTGCTCGGCCCGATACACTTTGCGAAACAACAGCCAACGCATTCGTAGTGGGCGTAGGTACAGGTATAACAGGACGCCCTTCGAAAAAAAGAAACACTTTCGTTTTCAACGCGCCAGCATATACCAATCATAATCGCCGACTTAGGCTGATATCTAACGAATCTCAGCATTATATTTATAAATCTGATCAACTGTTTATAAGATAATGAGCACTTCTAATTAAATTATATATGGTAAATTATGGTAGGATCTGTACAAGTTTCCCACTTGCTGTTATATATGATCCTATAATTCAAGTGGAAGAACAAAACTTAAATTTCTCATCATAATAGTTATATTACACACATTTAATAAAAAATATCAATACTAAAGAAATTATAAGTGTTTCATCTTTCTTACTAGAAAAGAGAAAGAGGAAGTAAATATATAAAATAGATAACAAAATAAAATATCACGCTGAAAATGTATCGAGTTATATTTATAATACATGTGTCATATAATCAGGAATAATAATACGATTGCTGTAGATCAAATACTTGACAATGGCAAACATTTGCATTGTTACGTTATAACGTGAATATATAATGATGTAACGAAGAGAATTATATAAAGTGTAATATAATATTAATAGTAAAGAACTTATATATGACTATTATAAAGACAGTTTTGTTGCTCTAACAAAAAAAATGACTATACGTTTCACATTGTGTCTATTTTATATTATTATTACTGCTTATAAAGAGTCAATGATCTCTAAAGATAACTTAAATAACAAACGAGACATGGCATTCAAGTACAACTAATGTACTTCTTTCAATCAATAAGAATAATCTTGTAAGCATGGAGAGAGAAAGAAACAGACGGCGCTGACATTCGAATTCAATCGTGAATTAACCAGTTTGATTGATACGACATAACGTGTCATGCTTACAATAATATACCGTGCAACATTTTGCGTAGCACTCGCGCACATATCATCGCCAATCGCTGCTCTCGCGTACATTTATGTCGTCGATCCGAGAAATATTGCGCAAACCGTTCCTTGCGTCATCTCGATCTCGATGTCGACATATATGCACGCAGAAACAATTCAAGACGAATTCTTGAATACTTGATATGTTAGCTATGACTTTTAAATCCTAAATTAAATCTATAAATCTAAATATAATGCATAATTTTTATTTTTTATTTAACACGTCAAAAATTGTTGATCATCATTCAATTCGTATCTAACATTGAAAATTAATACTTTGATAAATGTAATATTCTCCTGTACAATGTACGCATTAATATATATAAAATGTCTATTATAACATTTGTATCGGTATTAAATTATTAACTCTCTAGCTTTAATATGATAATAATATTGATTTTAAATTATTAATTGTTTTAACAACACAATTATTACTGTACAAGTAATAAATGAATTATTACTAATGTAAAATGCTACTAATTAAATCAACAGAAGGGTTCAACTGGAATGGCATTTTGATGAGGGTAAACAGAATTCCTATCATAGCTGGAACATTTTTTTCTCAATGTATCCATACAAGTCTCGTTAAGTAGTTAATGCTCCTTTTGGAAAGGATAACATCGAAATGCAATTTTCAACATACATGGGAAGTTCTTCTTATAACTCGCGTATATGTTATGCGTAAAAAAAAAAAAAAAAAAAAAAAAAAAAAAAAAAAAAAATCATTCGATAAACCGAAGGTACACCTTCGTGTGGTTAGATAATTCGTACCGTTGATATTACGCGAACCCGCGGGCAACGCACCGGATGAGTGCGTGGTATCGTTAGCTGTGGTATCGTTCGCAGTAAAGATTGCTCCGTAAGATTCGCGATTCGACGGGTGCGTACGCGGTATTCGCCACCACGCACGTACGCATTCCGCACGCACGTCTAGTGTGCGCATACTGTAACATTCGCGGCGACCGCGGTCGCTCCTGTTCGTTACGCGATACAGCGTCGTTGAGAAAAATCGTAGAAACGATCGGCCCGCGATCGAAAGCTCGGAGCGAGATACGTATATATACTCGTGCGTTCGCCCGATCCCACCATATTTGATGCAAAAGAGCGCCGTAAATATCGTCGAGCGCGCCGGCGGACACGTCGTTATCGCCACGTGCGCCGACAACCGCGAGATCAGCCGGTCGCGCGGATTAGATATCGTCCATGCAGTTATGTAGAAAAAGATAATAATGGCCCGTGCCAAACATTCCGCATGCGCTCGTATGATGCCGGTCATTAGTCTGGATATAAATCAGTGCGTTCCACATCTAACGAAAATTATTTCCGAGGCAAACTCTAAACACTATAAAATACTGGGGTTTAATTATATACATATAGTTAATACATGAAGTTAAACAGATATATTAAGAGATTATTTAAGGAACTTACACTCCATAAATATAAACAAGTAACAAAATTTATGATATGGTTAGTTTTATGAATAGAGATACTTTTTAGGGACAAATTTAGTACTAAAAAATTAGATGGCTAAAGTAATAAATGATAATATTAATATCTCTCTTATACTTTCTTGGATAATTTGAATATATTGTCTAAATAACATAAATTTCTCTGTAATAATCCTACAAAATTTTGAATTGGAAATAAAATTTCCGTTTCTCTATTATTTAAGCGTATCAATTCTTCAAATTATAATAATAATTTTATCTCGAAACTGCAATGTAAAATTAGCATAAACTGCTATATAAAATTCTGAAGCATTTTATATACATTTATAATAAAATCCCTATTTAACGATAGAGCTTTCATAAATATCCAACGCTAATGAATGTATATTCTATTATACAAACAACTAAAAACTGAAACAGTGTACACAAGAAATCATAGTCAGAAGAAATTGTTTATCGGAATGCATTGCTGCTTATTGTACATTTTTTTAGTTTGATCTAAATCAGAGGAATAGTTGAAACACAATTTGATCTCATATGCGGGAAGATCGAAGCAGCTGAAACGAATTCCAACCCATATCGTTTATGACAGCGTTAATGTCGTTGATCATTACTTTAATTACAACTGCTCAGCATTCATTACACTTGTAGTTCTCCCCCAGGAAAGCATTAACACGAGCGGCTACGAACGTGCATTTTTTTTAACACGTTCAAGTTAAAGTAGGGCTCGACGTTCGCTTCGACTTTCGCCTCGAAGATTAATCGCAAATTAATACGACGACGAAAAAGCGGTACAAAAATTATTTATGATGCTGTCTCCTTCCTGTGCAATTATATGCAAACGGAATTGCCAATCGCGGGTGTCGTCGTGTATCACTCTGACGACAAAGTCATAACTCCCGGATACCACTGAAATAATTACGGATGGTAGGCTTAATAAGTCATCGACAGAAAGTTATTCAAGATCGATATTGTTGGATCAACCTAATCAAAATTTTCAATTTAATATTTAATGCACACACACACACACACACACACACACACACACACACACACACACACACACACACACACACACACACACAC